AATTATTGTTAGCACAACACAGACAGAGATCATTCTAGCTACTAATCTAGGTGACATAAGACGGTCTTCATGGCTCAAGACAGCACTGTACATCCTGGATATTATTAAGACTGTTTCTGCATAGAAAAAAGCTGCCACGTCTTGGTCAGACATAATAAACGCGCACTTTAGAGGTGCTGACCAGGAGGTCACCATCAAAGAACTTTGTTTCAATAACCACGTTGCCACTGAAAGAGAAAAAAATACTTCTCATTACCATCTCTGTATTCAGTGGAAATGAATATTATTATACAGTTTAAAAGAAAAGAAAGAAAAGGAAATCAATTTTTGAGCATGCCCTTTGAGCAAGCTGTAACTATGATGTACTGAGTACCAGCCCAAAAGTCATTCTCATTAGCTCCTCAAAATTTCACCTCTTAAAGTTGATCTGCAATTTGGAGATTCATTCACTCACTGAATGAAGGACAGAGTCTACAAACCCGACTGCAAATTCCACCAACCTCTGACCATCAAACACAACTTTCTTTCCACACTGACATGTTATGGACTTTTTTGGCAGGAAAAAATCTCCACTTTTTAAGAAATACATTTTTTGGCTTTGAGCTGTATTGGTAAACACCAATCCGCCATAGAAAAAATTGGTACATTTACCCATAACTCTTAGCGCACAGAAACTTAAACAACGCTCATAAAAACGTACAGGAACGTTGTGAAACCTTCAAACCCAGCGTACACAATGTCGATAGCACATGGACAAATACTGCAAAATCATGGCTATCCTTGTACTTTACTGGCTGTATTAGGCTCACATGGTATTGTGGTAAAATGTACAGCCGCCATCTTTTTTCCTACGGAGGATTAAGCTTACTAGATTAGTTGGAGTTTACGTTTGTGCCTTACCTGGCTTGTCAGGCAGGCAAGTATTTCTGGTTTCCATGGCAGGAAGTGATCAATAAGATTTCTACTGCCCAACCCTCTGCCCCCCCTTGATGGTGAAATCTACTAGTAACCATTAATACAACTGAATGGAGTGAGGTAAAGTGACAGCAAAGTGTCCCTCCCACCATCACAACACAATAATTTCAGCCAAAGGACTGATGCCAAAGAATTATAGACCACACTTACTTTAGAACATTTGCAGGCATCATCTGTGATTCAGGAGCAGCCTCTATGAGTGATTGCCATGTGTTTGTTGATGAAGGGATAACAAATCCAAAATCAAAATACCATTCTACAAACACAAGATAAAATACTAACAGTGAAATTACATCCTTAAAATACACTGACATCACAGCAAGGTGTTTCTCAAAGGATATCGTTAATACCATGGGTGACAAATTACTCCTTAATAAATTCTGGTGCAAAATTCCAGCATTAATTTATAATTTCACATGTGAAATTACAAAATTGCCATGGGGAAATTTCGCGAGAAATTTCCAGATGCAATAAACAAGTCAAAAACCTACCACTGTAAGCGTAATTTGTCACCTATATGATATTAAAAGGTAATCAAATGGTATACTTGTGAAATTGAGAAATAATTTCACTTGCTCTTTTTCAAAATTCTAATACACACTTATTAGTTGAATTACTAGCTGAATTATTTCCTAATTTCACTTGTCACCGTTTATCGGTTAACATGAATGTATTTAAGCAATTTTTCGACAATACAGGTAGATCAAAATTATAACTTACCAATAAAGAATTTCCAGGTTAATAACAAAGTTATTGCCCAAGTAACAAACACTACCAGATGAATATTGTTAATAAAATAAGCAAATTTTACTTTCTTACCTTCTAAGCACTTCCCTTTGAACAGAACTTTTTGTTCAAGTCTGAATTTTGTCATTTCTTGTTCAGAAGAAAAGTTAAGTTCCCTAGATACAGCCTTGCATTTTAAGATCTTTTTTGGTACTCTTGCTGCAAACAAAACCAAAACACTAATTCCTTAATTTGAAAATCCCAAAATAGACAGCAACACATGTCACAAGTACATTCCAATTATTGGCACATCTCTTCTAATAGGATAAGAATTTCCATCATTTGAAGCAGACTCTCATGATTACATACAGCCCTGTACAGTGGAATGCAAGCCTTGATGTTCAATAATGAGACTCTATCGGTTTTGCAAAACAATGTTACAAAATTGGCTTAAAAAACACTTGCGTCACTTTTTCATCCTAGCAGAAGTTAAACCAAAACCATGAATCACTCGTATATGTTTTCCTGCACTTATAGAGTGGTTTTCAATTGAGTGTCGTAAAACCAAAACCAAACCAATTACTTAAAAACTACCTCTACTACTTAGTCAAACTCAAACCATAGTAAAACCAAAGCCAAAACCAAAGTAATTGCCTGAAATTACTCTTGATACTCAATTGAAAATCACTCTACCAGGTGTACATGAATTACTCTAAGTTTTGATTGGTTTGCTATATTGCCTGTGTCCCTTGTGATTAGCTAGAGTGATTACTTTAGTTCTCGCTTTACAACAATCAATTGAAAACTGTTCTTCAACATGACTTATAAATATCAAAAAACCTATCACCAAGCTAAAGACAGCCTAACACATTCAGAAGTAGGTTATGACATGCAAGAAGTAGATTCTATTTGCATCAAAATAGTGCTTAGCATTTGGTAAGATATTAGAAATAAAATAAAATGCCAAAAGAAGTTACGATGCTCATACCTTCATGTTCTTGGTCAGGAACCGACCTGGAAAAGAAATATCAAACATATATTAATCAATAACTGTTAGGAATCTAAATGAATTTAGGAACAAGTTTTTGCCAGTCACAACAGGGATAACAAGGCCTTGGTCTAAAAATATTTACAAGGAACCCAAAGGTTCCAAACTGTCATTGTGCTGGTTGCCCAGCATTTAAGCTTATACATGAGAAAAGTAAGTTTTTTCAGTTGCCCAAAGGCAAAAGCTAGTTACCTGTGGCACCCAGGCACAAAAAATTGAAGTTACTCAAAAGAATGAGGAAGTAGAAATGTTTGATCAGATTTCACTTACAAGTCATCACTGCCTTGCCACAACACCTTCCCAGAGTCAGCATCTCGCAGATTCATCCAATTTCTACATCATTATTAAGGAATATAAAATCAAATAGACGCAACTCCTTTGCAGCAAAAAACTGAATGACTTGTGAAAATTTTACAAATATATACTTGTAATCTGACAATTTATTTTGTGTTAAACCTTGAAGTGCATCTTACATTAAACTTATTTACACGGAATCAAACTGTCTGATTTGACAAATATTTATTCTTAGGTAAAAACAGCAATGTTATACATTTTTGGTCTCTTTCTTCAATCTAGATCTATCTTTGCTTTGACTTGAGAATATATCAGAGTGATCACAAGATCATAACTCAAAGTTAAGGAAGTATCAAATTAAGGAAGTAGTCACAAATCAGTCATGGTTAAATGGTTGCTTAACAGTTTTACCATGCAAACATATCACATAGCCTTCTTGTTACGATGATCTTACTTCCGTGAATACATTACTAGAGGTACATTATTGAAATCTGACTCTGCCATGTCAACCATGACAGGGACGTCTGGCTTGATAAACACTTTGCAAGTTGATCATTCACTAAGTACCAGAGGTTTTCCTGGCAAATTTGTTTCTTTCAATGGTTACTTGCATGGTTTCCAACAATACAAGAATACCAACTGACAATTTTTTTTCCACTTTCTAAAAGAAAGCCTCACAACTCTATGTTTTTTTCATACATTCAATTGAAACATGCTAAATTACAAAGAACAACAATTCATGCTGTCAGGTAATGATATAATGCCTTCACAGTAACCAATCAGAGCTTGACATTTTCATGAACTGCCTTTATTAAAAATTTATTAAAAGGTTAACACCTCCCACTGGACAATGGTAAAAAAATAACTTCTATTGATCACTTGGAATAACAATGCTACTTCGCATAAATGTTCAATATTCCCAAATGGAAAAGATCTTTATCGATTTCTTTTTAACACTCAATCAAATGTTTAGTCTCTCTGTTAGAGGTTGATCATTTTAGAAAAAAAATTTAAATCAGAAATGTTATCAGTTGTAAAGTTAGACACAACAGTAGCACTTGGCCAAGGCAGTTGGCAAATGTCAAGAACGTTCCGAGTCACTTTAGGTTAAGATTTCACAGAGCACGAGTCAGATAAAACCATATACTGCAAATAAACAGACACAGACATGATTAAATTTACCTGAAACGCTATGTCGAAAATACATCACGACCAATTACTTATTCGCTTCACAATATAAATGATTAGAAAAATCACTTTGTGACACACGATCACAATTGTACAGCATCTACGCATCCGCTTTAATAGATATAAATCTTTAAAATCTAATCTTTGTCTATCTTTTACGCTACTGCAATAAACTACAATGAAGCGATGTTTGGAAGTCGTAAATTCGTGCTAGCTGGCATAACCAAAATCCGTTGACGTTTGATAAAGTGTTACATATCCCACCAAAAAACGGATCGAAGTACAAAACCAGAACGGTTTAAAAGTATCACTTTTCGAATACTGTATAACAGGAACAAAACAGTGTTTTAATATCAACAGATAAACAGCAAATCTGTTCAGTTCTAATTCAAGCTTACAGAAGATTCTGACTTCGGCCCACCCGCCAAAGAACTAAACGACCGATAGCCACGATTCGCTAATCCAAAAAGTTCTAGACTTTAAAATAAGTAAGCTAAATTAGTGATTCGTGTAGGTTACTAACTACTAAGTGAAGACAAGTTAAAATAGTCTGCAAAAGTAGCGTAAAATTCGAGGAAACTTGCAAACGAAGGATACAGTTTGAATCCCTTCAGGATTTCATCTTTCCTCGCGCCTTTCACGCTCATGCTGGGAAAATTCGCTATCCACCACCAAAGAATGGTCCAGTGAAGAGTTCTGCACAGAATCAAGAGCCAAATGCCACGTTAAAAGAAGAAAATCGCTAAGAACCTCTAGTAGAGGGAGAAACGGATGCAGCAAATAATCCCTGCACCAAGGAGCTCGGCTTGTAACGTTTCCATGAGAACTCTGGGTAATTCACGTCAAATGGGGAGTGACAAAACGGCCGGGAGGCCTGGAAACTGGGACATGTAGCAGCCGACGAACCAGAAGCGCGAGGGAGCCCGGATAGCTCCGCTCTCCCAATCCTTTTAGTTTCGCGCTCGTCCGCTCGCTTTGCTCGCCGAATATTTTCCCGTCCTCGCCGGCAGCCCGTTCGCAGGCTACGATTGAATTAATTGATCGAGAGGGAAGTGACCACGTTAAGTGTACGGTGTTGTGTTACACTTTGGGCCGTCGAGAATTTGAGCGCTCTAAAAGGCATTGTATGGGGAGCTTAAGTTACTTTTTCTGAATATACTCACCTTGCCTGACGATGAAATAGGCCAAATGAACAACAGACACCAAGCAAGGTGAGTATGTTTTCTTCATTTTATTCAAAAAAAAAAAGTATTATTTTATTTCGTGGGCGTTTTTATCTTTCGTTATACTTCGTTATCCTTCGTTATCGTTACGATGCCTTTTAGAGCGCCCAACTTCTCAACGGCCCAAAGTGTAACACAACACCACACACCTAAGGTGGTCACGTCCCACACGATACGCGTACGTAAATCATTGATTAATATTGATCTTTTTGGTTTATTTTGCTTGCTTTGCAAGAGTTCTAGAATAAGCTTGATGAAGCGACTAAGCCAGCGAGTTTCACATGAGAAAGTTACTGTCTGCAGAATCGTTAGTACCAAAGCGAAAAATTGAAGAGAATCAAAAGGTTGGCGACCATATTTTTCTCGCAAACAAGAGACCCATTTGTCACATTTGTAGAAGTTAACATGAATACTTCACAGATAGACCCAAAAACATGGAGAGGCATTTCATTTAGATGTGATATATTCTAGTTTACAAGTCGGTCACATTTGAGTGGAACCCGGGGAAGACTCCAATCTAAAAAGGTAGGGGGTGTTCGTCATACCTTTTAGGGGTTAGACACGCAGTTTTGATACCTCTTAGGATGGTTAGCCTCAAAAGCTCCACAGCAGGTACGTTTGCGGTACCTTTTAGATCGAGTGTTGAGCGGGAAATATGACAGTAGATGATGTGTTATGTAAGAATTGGTACTTCTTGTAACGGGAGAAAAAAAATTCAAGCCACACCCACAAAACAGGATCTTGGCACCTCTTAGGTGTTCTTTCAACATTTCCGACGAGCACCCCCTTTTTTATATGGAAGTCTCTCCCCTCTCCCCCCCCCCCCCCCCCCC